AAGCATTCTGTCCTTCTTTTTGGCAAATAGAACCGGAGCACCCCAAGATAAAGTACTCGACCTAATAAAGCCTCTGTCCAATAACTCTTGTAACTGGACTTTAAGCTCCTGCAACTCTGCTAGTGTCATCCTATGTGGTGTCATAGAAATAAGGGACGCATTGGGCTATAACTCTATGGTAAAGTCTACATCCCAATGCGGTGGCAATCGCGGTAACTCATATGGGAAAACGTTTGCATAGTCACACACGACTAGAGGCAGACCTAACTCATGTCCCATCTCGTCCTCCAGTGTAAGGCTAGCAAGTCAATCTATCAACTATCCGTGCCATCGGGAGTCATATACGGCATGGGGTGAAGTATTGTGCTTCTTCCCCTGAAACTTGAAATAAACCCCGTCTAAAATGTAGACTACAACCCTTTTGCGTTCACAATCAATGACGACCTTATGTGCCGCCAACCAATCCATCCCGAGTATGACATCAAACTTCGTTATCTCGATAACCTTAAGATCAATGGTACGTAGGGTTCCTTCGATCTCCAACTCACAACTCCGACATATCTTATCAATACAAACTCTGTCTCCTAGGGGTGAACTCACATACATGGGCTCCTCTAGAGTCTCGACCTCTAAGCCCAAGTCTCGTAGGCATGATATAGTAATAAAAGAATGTGATGCACCAGAATCAAATAATACTCTAGTCTATAATCTAGAGAGAAGAAATATACCTTGAATTATTGACTGATTTACCGATAAAGTCTGTGGTGTGATGGCAAAGACTCGCCCTTGGGTCCCTGAAGGCCCTGCCGGAAAGCCTTGACCCCGGCCCCGGCCCATGCCCTGGACCATTTGGCCTGACTGCAGAGTCCCCGTTTGTGAAGTGGTAGGGGCCTGTGCTACACTTTGAAACTGGAACTGATTTTTTTGGCCCTTGGTGAGATAGGGAGGAATGAAGTAGGTCTGTGAATGCTCCACTGATGACTGGGACTGAGATGCCCCGTAGCTTTGAGATCCTTGTCTCTGAGGACACTCTCTTTTCAAGTGGTCTGACTGGTGGCAATAGTAACATGTCCATGGGCCTCGTTGTTGTGTGCCCCTAGAATTCCTCCCACCTTGGAAAGATTGACCATGGCCTTGGCCTTGGCCCTATCCCTATTGGGTAGAAATCCTCTGCCTTTTTCCCGAGCTAGTAGTGGAGGACTGTCCCTCATTCTTACTATCCTTTGATCTGGCCTCTCGAATACTCTTGATGTCTTCCACCTCTCTCTTTATAGCCATGGCTGTCTCGACCATCTCATCCAAGTCGTGCAACCTGTGGCCAACAATCTTCTCACGGATGGATAGCTTTAGGCCATTCTCAAACCTCCGCACCTTGGCCAAATTCGTGGCCACATAGTCACCCACAAAACGTGTCAATTTTGTGAACTTGGCCATGTACTACATAACCGTCATCATTCCTTACTTCAAGTTTAGAAATTCTTGGGCTTTGACTTCTCGAACAGTTGGTGGAAAATACTTATTCATGAAGAGCTCTTGAAACTCTCCCCATGTCATCCCCCCCATGTCTATCGGCTTTGCCCATGTCCACCATTGATGGGCTTCTCCCTCAAACTGAAAAGTGGCCAACCATATCTTAGTGGCGTCGGATGCAATCTCCACTGCCTCTAAAACTTTGTCCACATGTTGAAACCAATTGTTAGCTACCATCGGATCCCCTCTTCTATAAAAGTTGGTGGGTTGTGGGACCTAAACTTTTGGAGGTTGTTCGAGCCTCCATGGCCCACATTCGCACTAGCTTGCAAAAAGGTGGCAGTCATCATACCCATAGCCTCCATAAAGGCTTGTTGATCAAAAGTCGGTGGTGGTGGTTGGTTGTTCCGTCCACCTCGACGTCCCCTTCCTCTAGTTGCCATCTACACACACATAAGATATCAATAAACCAATAACTTAGTATCCCAAAGTTAGGAATCAAAAATTAAAACCGTAGAATATATATATCTACCGGTAGATGTCCAAACAGTATGCGTACATGTCTTTTTCCTTCCCGACTCTAAGGTTATGTTTTCTAACCGTAGTGTCTCATTCCTATGTACATTTAATCATGCATATAATCTCATAACACATATCATGTAACATTTAATACATTTAACATGCAATGCAAAATGGATGCAATGGCCTAGACCCATGCCTCATAAGTCCTAGGTAAATCGAGAACCGAGGCTATGATACCAAGCTGTGACACCCCAAAATTCAGGTGTTAGTAATTACCCGATTAATCACCTATCAACCCGCGAAATACCCATGAATACCATGTAATTCGATACCACACCGTTATGTCCCATTTATTGAGATCCATAACTTAACAAAATTTGGGCAGAGTCTCCTTTGTACGAGGAGCTCTACTCAAAACGCAACTTGTACAACATTGACCACACCGGGTCTATCCATCTATTCATAATTGTATAGTATCGAATACTACTATAATCATCATCATTACGTACATTCATCCATAAAAGAATAAATGTCTCAAAAGAGTCCCTTATACATGCCTTTTAAATATAAACAAATTTTTGTTACAAAAATTACACAAGGCCAAAAGTAATTATAAATAAGGGATTACGATGTCAAAGAAGAGCCACAAACAGGCTCTGTCGTCAACGCGGGGCCATGACCTCACCTTTGGTGGACGCCTATGCAATACCTAAAAAATGTCCCGATAAAGGGTGAGCCAACGCTCAATAGGGTAACTCCTATAGATAATACATCTCAACCTAAATGCATATAAAATGTCACATACAACAATTATTTCATGCAATCATTTAAATATGTCTATTATGAACAAATGTCATAAATCATGTCATGTCATGAGATGAGACTCACGAAAATAATACCAACACCGAGCCCCATCCTGAGTTTCTACAACACATGTAATGTCATGCGTATGTATCAGAGCATTCCAAGCCCCCGTTATTGGAGTTGTATACATTCAATTACTAATTAATTCATTTTCTTGTATCTTTGTGGGGAGATGATTTATGTTATTACACCAATAAGACACCAACCATCAACAGATTCTCAGGACATCCCACCTGCGGCTTCGTTTTGGCCGTTACACTTTTTTGGAATTTCACCGCCGAAAAGTGTATAAACCAAGTAAGTGAGTCTTACATCCGAAAGAGAATTTAGTCCTTCTTGCTATCCTCGACACGTTTATCCATTTAATTTTTTGTGCGCCTCAACCGGACCTTGGTGTAACTTTTTCGAGCCCATGTGGTGATTGATTTCATCCCATGCACACACTCCCACCTATGTCAATGCCCATGAATATAATATAACTCATGGATAATGACATTTCAATGTGCAATTGCCTTTGATACCATTTACAATGTCCATTACATAGAGAATACAATATAATGACATTTTTTCAACATGACAACATGTTTTTCAATTCTATAAACATAAACACAAGTCCACCACAATAATTATATGCTAAATAATCATTTAACATACATATTATTCCATAATTATATAACAAGCTAATAATTTTATTAAACTTGATATGTCATTTAACACATAACTAATATACAATTAACATGCTTTAAACCACTAACATTAATTTACACCAAGTTAATCGTAATAGGATTTTTCTAATTACAAAATTAATTATAAATCATATATTTGACCTATTAATTACACTAGTCAAGATTTAATATGTGATATACACCCATAGCTTACTTATTTCATATGCTATATTTTAGGTTGAAAGTAAATCTAAATAGGAGAAACCTTACCTCTCGTAGCGTGAGCCCACGTACTGAAACTCCGAGGAAGCCCAATTTAACTTCCCAAACTTTAGGCCTAGATTATCGTCTTTGATATTCTTTCGGGGAAAAATACGATATTTGGTGTGGTTGTATAGCTCTTGTTGAGTAGAGCAACTTTAATTCTTAACCCGAAACGACTAAACAGTTCAATTTTCGTAGATATGAAGAAGAAAAAAAGAAAAAAAAAAACTTTTTTCTCTTTCTCACTCACTCGGCAGCCGGCTAGGGGAAGAAAATTTGAAAGACTAAAGCCTTTCACACTTGTGTATATATATATATACATATAGTATACATTTATAGTTTAAAAATTTATGTTTTTGATCCTTATATTTACAATTAATTATTATTTTACTCCTTTAATTAATATTTTTAATAATAATAATAATAATATTTTTTTTTTTCGAATTTTTACAGAAGGCCAGTTTAGAGAGTAATCACGCTATATATACACTGAAACCTGGGAGGAAGCTTAGGAAATTGTGGCCGTTTCTGGACTTCCATTTAATAAAATGCATGATTTTGTTAAATGTTGCCTGTGAAACCATGTAGTTGTTGTTAAGTGAAATTTCAAACGTTTTTAACTTTGGTGCCGAAGTTGAGAACAAGAGCTATTTCAAACCATGTGGTTGGTTGATTGGTGAAATCAGAGCCACGTCTTAAAATTTATTTATGAAATTCTTCTCACAAGATACTCCCATCACAAAGCGCTTTTCTAAACTCTTTGTTGCAGAAGAATAACCTAGTTCAATCAAAAAATGTCTTTTTGTGATTGTGGGCCAAAACCACAAAAAAAAAAAAAAAAAATGGGGTGATGTTCTGGGGCAGATTTGTCCTAGAAAAATGAGAGGACAACTTAGTATTGTAGGCGTAGATGATGAGGATGACAAGTGAAAATCCCAAAAGTAAATGTGGTCACCAAACCAACGCTGATCATATATGTAACTGTTCTATCCCCTCTAGGCCCTTATTGTTATCTTTTGGGAATCTACTCAAGCGGCCACACTTCCATTCCATTCCTCAGACAGTCCTTGCGGCGGGCGGGTGGGTTCTTCTATTTTCCATTTCCTAATAATTAATACTGTTACTGTTATGTTGGTTGGTTGGTTCATTGTTCTTGTAACGGTTTTTCGAATCTGAGACTGAGACTGAGAAGACATTCATCCATCAGAAGTTGCCATGACCACCTGGGTGACATCTCCACCTCGGATGCAACTCAATGTCCGTTTCTCCCCCTTTTTAGTGTCCGGCCAGAGGTTATTCTCACATGGATCTCTGTCTCTGCAAACACCCCACAAGGCATGGAGACATTCTATGTTTCTCAAGTCCAAACCTGTCGTCAAAGATGGGGTTCTCAGTTTCAATGGAACCAATGCGCTGACAGGAATACCAGATAATGTTGTCATGACACCATGGTCAAACTCTTCGCTATTCCTCGGTGCCACTTCCGCCCACAGCAGTTCCCGGCAAGTTTTCAAGCTTGGTCTTATACAGTAAGCACCATTCTTCTTCTTTCTTTCCTCTTCCCATCATTCAACTTCCCGCCTCTGTGAATGCACTCTGTAGATGAATACTACCTTTGTCTAATTAACTTCCAAGACAAAATTTTCATGTCAGGTGCATAATAACTTCGTTAAAAATTTAATATTCTTTTCAAAATAAGATAACCTGAGTTGCTTGGCAATGCAACAATTTATTTGGACATCAAATGAAGGCTATGGCCGTAGAGGTTGTCCTTGCTCCGGTCTCCCTTTAATCAGGAAAATCCGACTGGATGAATTTTCCTATCCAATACGAATTTGTTTGCTCTTCATTCAAGGGTTTACGAGAAATTCACGTTCCTAATATCTACCTTTTCGGCCTATAATTGACTTCAAGCTATTTCAGAATGTATTGTTCTGGCAGTTAATTAATACCAATCAATTTTGGTAATCAAGAAGATCCAGGACTAAATGCAACAATTGGTTAGAAACTGTTCTTATCTGCCTCCTGTTTTTAAGTTTATGACGTGTGTGCTTTATGCAGGGATGCCAGATTGTTGTGCTTATTTAGATTTAAAATTTGGTGGATGATACCTCGTGTGGGAAATTCAGCAAGTGACATCCCCATTGAAACTCAGATGTTGCTGCTGGAAGCAAAGGAAGATTCAAGTTCTAATGACTCTAAAGGATCTCCATCCTATGTCATTTTCTTGCCTACGTTAGACGGTGAATTTAGAAGCAGTTTGCAGGGAAACTCAGCTGATGAGCTAGAAGTTTGTATTGAAAGTGGTGAGAATCTCTCAGACATGGTTCAATTGTTTCGCGTACAGGCTTTGCACTCTATGAATCAGTATTAGAAGTGAACACACAAGGTTGGTACAGATCAAAACAGAGATAAGAAGTGAACACACATAGATGGTGCAGATCAAAACACACACACACACATTAATCAGTGTGCAAAATTTCTTTCCTGATCCAGTAAACGTACTCCATTATTCGCGGGATAGACCAGTGTGGATTACAACTTTATAATCCCCTCGATGAGAAGTTCTCTAGGAAGAAACACCTTCTTTATTGCTTGACATCTTCCTATCTCCAAAAGCCAAACGGCGTCAGTGAAAATTCAGCTCTTGTGCTTGGTGAACCTTAGAATGAAGAACCACCAAAATCATATCTGTTATTTATATAGCGTGTAATGATCAGTCTGTTCATACTTACCATTCTTCTTTTCATCTCTTCTTTCTGTCAGATACAGCTATCTTAACTTAGTCTAATGATATGAGTTGCAAATGCATTCTATAGGTGACCCGGCTGTAATTGCATCAGAGTCTCTAAAAGCAGTTTTTGTGAATTATGGAAACAACCCATTTGATCTGATGAAGGAATCTATGAAGTAGGTGGCTCTCTGAGCAAAGTTTGAGTTCAGTTTAGTTCAAGTGATATTCTTGAGTAACTTGTGAACTTCAATGCAAGTGCCTTGTCGTTTGGCAGCTAAAATCCAGTCGGGTTCCAAGCCACAGGCTTGAATTGAGTCACATAAGATTTTGACTCTCAAGCTATCTTGGATACTCAAACATGAAGTATCCTGAATTAATAGTTGACATTTTTTATGTAACAAACTTTTTTCCACTCTGGCATATGTAGGATCATGGAGAAGCATATTGGAACATTTTCAGTCCGCGAAAGCAAACAGGCAAGTCAGCCTATCTATAAAATCTATATGGCCATCTAATTCCATCTTGGGATATAGAATTGCTGCTGGAAAGATGTGTACTTCAGTGACAAGTTCCTTTGTTTCCCTGATACAGATGCCTGGAATGCTAGATTGGTTTGGTTGGTGCACCTGGGATGCTTTCTATACAGAAGTTAATCCTAAAGGAATCAAAGATGGTCTAAAATGGTAAATATAGCCCCCTCTTCAAATTTTCACCAACTTAATTTCTTTTCCTCTTCTTTATCTGAATTTCTTCTTGTTGATTTCTCTAGACGAAGTGCCGTATCCTGCACAATGATCGACATAGTAAACATTTGTTTCATTCATAAAGATGGCATTCAAGCCAATACTTGATGATTTTATAACTGCCATGGGCATGGTACTTATAAGCCTACGCTTGCTTTCCCAAGTTGCAACCCATCCGCTTTAAACTAATCATTATCTGTGAACTTTTAACTAACTTCTTGTGGGTGTCTTGTATTCCAATTCTAATAGAAAATTGATTTGAACTTTGTTCTCTTTAGGGATTTCGAAAGGTAGATGTCCTAGAATTCCACTTCAAGTAAAAGACCAATTAGAAACCCTATTGTATTAGGAGACAAAGTATTTTGGGTCTATAAATAGATTATAGACTACTCAATTTCTTTTGGGTTTTTGGTCCCTAGTTTTGGGCATCCATGTTTGGTTCTATTCTTTAGGGTAGAGAATTTTGTGTAATCTTCCTTTGTTAATAGTGAAACTTTGCTTCTGCATTTCGCTCGTGAAGTACGCTTTTAAGCAGATCCACATAAATTTATGTTCTAATTTTCTATTTCGTTCCATTCTATTTTGCTTGTGGTTTTTGTTTATAACAAACTGATATCAGAGTTATTGGTTTCGAGATTACTATAATAAAATTCAAAGTAGACAAATTTAGTGATCAGAACAATTTCATTCCATAGAAGATCTAGATATGCGACGTTGCTATGACGAATCATTTGACAAAAGTACTTCATGAGATATTATAATCAACGCTGATGGAGATTCAATAGATTTGCTATTGCGGAGAAAGCAGTTGGAAAATTCACTTTTGGTTTGATGGCTTGGTGGATATACAAGTCAAGGTGGAGAGTTTTTATGGATGCTTGTGATATTTGTATTCCCTCATGGGATTTGTGGAGAAGGCAGGTAGTTCGTTCGCTTTTGTTTTGATTGCTTGATGGAATACAAGCCAAGGTAGAGATTGTTATGGGTGTCCTATAGAGATTTATTGTGGGCGTCTTGAATTCTAGTCCTAATAGGAAGCTAAGTTGAACTTTGTTCTCCTTAGGGATTTAGAAAGGTAGATGTCTTAGAATTCCACTTCAAATAAAAGACCAATCAGAAACCCTTTTGTATTAGGAGACAAAGTATGTTGAGTCTATAAATAGATTATAGACCACTCAGTTTCTTTTGGGTTTTTGGCCCCCAGTTTTGGGCATCCATGTTTGGTTTTATTCTCTGAGTTAAAGAATTTTGTGTAATCTCTCTTTACTGATAGTAAAACTTTGCTGCTGTGTTTTGCTCGTGAAGTAGGCTTTTAAGCCGATCCACGTAAATTTATGTTCTATTTTTCTATTTCGTTCTGTTTTATTTTGCTTGTGATCTTTGTTCATAACAAATTAGTATCAGAGCTACCAATCTTTGATAAACTGTCGGATCTTTCAACTCCTCACCTTCAGCAGTAAGCTTCAGGTTTGGAATCATAGGTGATGATGCCGGTTTGCACCCCAACATCCCAGTGTCTGAAAGAAGATCCAAAACATACTTTCTCTGAGAAAGAACAATACCTCTGCTTCTACGGGCAACCTCAATCCCAAGAAAGTATCGCAGAAATCCAAGATCCTTCACATCGAAGGCCTTCCCAAGGTCTATCTTGACCTGCGCAGTCCCAGAAACATCATCACCAGTAATAATAATATCATCAACATATACCAGAAGGATGACACACTGTCCAGAAGTATTCCGTCGAATAAAGCAGGTATGATCAGAATGACACCTGGTGAACCCCAATCGTAGAACTACATCACTGAAGCGAGAGAACCAGGCTCGTGGCGACTGTTTCAGTCCATAAAGAGACTTACGCAGTCGACATACCTTTCCAGCATACTCCCCCTCACCACGAAAGCCCGGTGGTGCATCCATATAAATAATCTCGTCCAGATCACCGTGAAGAAACGCATTCTTCACATCTAATTGATGAAGAGGCCAAGAGTACTCCGCAGCCAGAGAAATAATTAACCGAACAGTAGTCAATTTTGCCACGGGGGCAAATGTAGCACCAAAGTCACGACCTGGTACCTGAGTAAAGCCCTTCGCCACAAGTCTAGCCTTGTAACGATCAATAGTACCATCTGCCAGAAACTTCAGGGTGTAAACCCAGCGACAGCCAACAGGCTTCACCCCTGAAGGTAAGGAGACAAGATCCCATGTATGATTACGCTGAAGAGCGTCCATCTCTGTCTGCATGGCAAGAACCCACTGGGGCTCCCGCATAGCTTCCGAAATAGAGCGAGGAACCAGCGTATCTGATAAGGCCATAGTATAAGCTCGAAATGTGGGAGACAGATTACCATAAGAAACATAAGCAGAGATCGGATATAAAATCTTGGCGGTCCAACCATATCGATCAACTGGACGGCGATCACGCCTTGGATAACGACGCCCTAAATCACCATCCTCTACTGATAATATCTTATCAGGTAAAGTAACTGGCTCAGCACCTGTAATCTCATCAGTACTAACAACAGGTGCATCAATATGCTCAACAAACTGAGAAGTATTACCTGCATCGCCTGAGGTAGAGGGGATATCAGCAGGGTGATGAGAGCGAGGACAACGAGCATACACCTGCAAAGGAAGAGAGACTGGTAACTCTGTACTGACAGGGATAAGTGACTCCTTGGGAGGAAAAACGGAGGACCCTGTAGGGATAGTGATCAATGACTCTGACTCTTGTGGTAATGGGAAGTCAAAGGGAGTATCATCAATTGGAGGGGCAGACAAAGGACTGAAAGGAAAATAAGGAATATGCTCAAGAAAGGTAACATCTAGACTGTGATACATACGACACCTAATAGGATCATAACAGCGATACCCCTTAGATTGATGACAATAGCCCACAAAGATACAACGAATCGCTTTATCATCAAGTTTATGACGAGTAGGAGACCGATCCTGAACAAAACATGTGCATCCAAAAACACGAGGGGGGACCGGAAAAAGTGTCCGCTCAGGAAATAAGACCTGTAAGGGAGCCTTATGCTGAAGAACACGACTCGGCGTACGATTGCACAGAAAGGTAGAAGTCAAAACAGCAAAATGCCAATAAGATTTTGGTACCCTCATGCCTCTAAGTAGACAACGTACCATCCCTATCAAACTCCTATTTTTCCTCTCAGCAACACCATTTTGCTCAGGAGTATATGGACAAGTGAGTTGCTGAAGGATACCCTGAGAAGAAAGGTGAGATACTAAAGCATCAGACACATATTCTTTGGCATTATCCGAACGAAGAGCACGAACAATGACATCGAATTGTGTCTTAATCATCTGTAAAAACTGAGTGATTATAGGGAGCACATCAGACTTCCTATGCAAAAGGTAGACCCAAGTACAACGGGTATGATCATCTATAAATGTCACATAATATCTGGCACCTGACAGAGCAGTAACGGGAGAGGGTCCCCAAATATCAGAGTGTATTAGGTCAAATGGCTTGGGTGACTGGTGCATGCGAGGAATATAATTGGCCCTAACATGTTTTGATAGGGAACAGATAATGCAATCAAGTTTACCACCAACACAAGCATTACTCAAAGCAGGAAACAACATACATAAATATTTAAAATTTGTATGTCCAAAACGGTCATGCCACAATTGAACAGTTTGTGACGAAAAATCATAACGACAACTACTAGGTAAAATACTAGCATGCAAGCTAGGAACAGAAAAAGACAAAGCAGGGGCAGGTGAAGGAATTGGTGAAACTGGAGATGGATTGCCAAGATAATACAGTCCATCTTTCTCATGTCCCTTGATAATAATCCTCCTGGTACTCAGGTCCTGCAAATAACACGAATCAGATAAGAATACAACCGCACAGTGAAAATCTCTGGCTAACTGATGTACAGATAATAGATTCATGGCCAACTTTGGCGCATGAAAAACCGAATGTAATGTAAGGCCATCTGGGAGACGGACTGTACCCCTACTAACAATAGGGGCATGTGTTCCATCTGCTAACTGAACCTGTGTATGTAACGGCTCGTCAAAAGTGGTGAAGTGATGGGCCTCACCTGTCATGTGACCATTCGCACCCGAGTCCAACATCCAAAGGGGAGATGAACTGGCACAAGCGTGAAAGACACGAGATATACCTGTAGTGGTGACAGCAGCAGTAGTCAGACTCTGAGAAGTCAGAGCAGACATAAGTATATCTAATCGGGAAGTGATAGCATCCATATCACTTTGCCAAGGAGGAGCAGTAGCAGGAGTGGCGGTAGTGGGCGGTGGTACCTCAGCAATAGCAACAGTACGGCTGCGAGAAGGTGGCTTAAGCTCTGGATGGAGCTTCCAGCAAGTAGCCCTGAGATGTCCTGGTCGGCCACAATAATCACATTGACGGGAATCCCCCCGTCTACGCTGATCTGGGGTGCCCTGACGGCGCTGGTCTGAGCGTTGCCTATCCCTGACTAAGGATCCTGAACGGGACCCTACAGCAGCTGCAAGGGCCATCTGGTTAATCGAAGGAGGCAAAGCTGCAACTGGAAGTGATGCAATACGGACTCGACGCTCATGCTGCTCAATCATCCCATACACCTCATAAAGAGAAGGAAGTACCCATAGATGTCTCAACGGTAGAGGTGTCAACAGTAGGGTTCTCAAGTCCCTCAGTAGTAGCCATATCAACAACAGTACTAGGGCACCCGTGACAGAAAAATAACTCTAAGATAAATAGAGGAATAAAATAAGGGAGAACAATATACCTTCAGTCGAACAGTAGCGACAAATAGGGAAGGTCCAAAAAAGCTCCCAAATAATCAAGTCACGGTGCCCAAAAATCCAAAATATATAAATAAGTGATTTACTGCATCAAGAGCAAATCAACAACCCCTCATAAAAAATCCTAGATATAACAGTGAGTTGGGTTTAGTATATGTTTAATGGGCTGAGGCAATACTGGGTTCTGGTTTGGATTGTTTGGGCTGCTGGTCGATGCTAGCTATTTAATGTGTATATGTTTGCTGGGCCAATGTATATACCATAGACATTCAACAGGTATTCAACAAGGCAGTCGGCTGGTCTGGTTCGGTTCACTCACGAAACTTCAGTTCTCAAGGAATGATTTTGGTGAAAGTTAGAAGGAGCAGTTCAAAAAATTACTGGAAGGCGATTGAGTGGGTTTGTCGGTTGGAGGCAGTCGGTGGGGTGGGCTATAGGAGTTTCGCTGGGCAGTCGGTGGTTTATGGGCAGTCGGTGGACTGAAACATGTTTTGGTTTCAGTCGGTGCTTTATGGGCAGTCGGTGGCTGGGCTATAGGAGTTTCGGTCGGTGCAACTGGTTTCAGTCGATGTCGGTTGGAAGCAACAGGTAGACAATTTTGGCTGGGTTCTATCGATCGGTTGGGTTTTTCGGTGGAGTCGCTGGTTCTGGTTCTGGTGTGGCGCTGGAGTCGCTGGTTCGGTGTAATCAGTTTTCAGTCGGTGGAATGGTAGACGATTTTGGCTGGGTTCTATCGATCGGTTGGGTTTTTCGGGGGAGTCGCTGGTTCTGGTTCTGGTGTGGCGCTGGAGGTTGGGCAGGCTGTTGCAGATTGTTTGAGTGTTTTGGAATGGTGGCTGCTGGGAAGGTGATGAAGGCTAGGGTTAAGGTTAGGGTTAGGCTTAGAGATGGAGGCTAGGGTTTTGGCTCTGATACCAACTTGGAATATGTGAAAGGGATACTCAAACTCAAAGTAGAGTCCCGTATATATAGCCAAAAATAATACAGAGTGACTTAAATATCCTTGTAGTTTAGGCAAAATATAAAAATCATAGTAAGGGTAAAAAAGAGAAAAGAAATCCTAATAAACCTAGACTACTATCTATACTCCAACAGTTTCAAAATGGCTACAACAAAATTCGAAGTAAAAAAATTTGGTGGTCAGAACAATTTTAGTGTACGACAGATCTAGATACGTAACGTTGCTATGAGGAATCGTTTGACAAAAGTTCTTTATGAGATACTATGATCAACGCTGATAGAGATTCAATAGATTTGCTATTGGGGAGAAAGCGTTGGAAAATTCACTTTTGATTTGATGGCTTGGTGGACACACAAGTCAAGGTGGACATTTGTTATGAATACTTGTGATATTTGTATTCCCTCACGGGATTTGTGGAGAAGGCAGCTAGTTCATTTGCTTTTATTTTGATTGTTTGATGGAATATAAGTCAAGGTGGAGATTTGTTGTGGACGTCTTGTAAACCAGTCCTAATAGGAAATTGATTTAAATTTTGTTCTCTTTAGGGATTTAGAAAAGTAGATGTCTTAGAATTCTACCAAGTAAAAGACTAATTAGAAACTCAATTGTATTAGGAGACAAAGTATTTTGGGTTTATAAATAGATTATAGACCACTCAGTTTTTTTTTTGGTTTTTTGGCCCCAAAATTTGGGCGATTTTGGCCCCTAGTTTTGGGCATCCATGTTTGATTATGTTCTCTAGTTTAGAGAATTTTGTGCAATCTCCTTTTATTGATAGTGAAACTTTACTATTGCTGCACTTCGCCCTTGGAGTAGGCTTTTTAGCTGATCCACGTAAATTTGTGTTCTATTTTTCTATTTTGTTCCGTTTTATTTTGCTTGTGGTCTTTGTTCATAACATAACTTAACCAGGAGTCTCTGCAAATGTTGACCTTCACATCCTCCAGTATTGCTTAGACATATTCACCCCAAGACTGGAAATCCTAAAATTGCACGGTCGCTGAGTTATAACAACTAATTCACAATTTCAGTGTTTCTCTGTGTTTTATGGCATGAAGCGCATATGCTATTACAATAATTGGACAAGGCATAACACCTATGATGTAATTCCTGGAATGCTCTTGATGAATAATCATCTCCCTTACAAGTAAGATGTATATTAAAGGGAGCATCTTTGGTTTATTTACCTTTGTGCAAGTGGAACTCCTTATATATTGACCATCACTATTGGACTTGGCTAAGGTTTCATCTTAAATAGCTTCTTTAATTAGATTATTTTTTAGTTTATGTCTGTTCTTTATTTGGTCTGGATTTTCCATTGAAAATTAAGTTTCCATTTTTAAAAGCTGCTTTATTTCAGTTATATCTTATGTTACGTGCCTTCATTCTTTCTTTTTTCTTTTTTGTTCCTGGTATTCTATCTTAAACTGTCTTGCAACACCATCTCTCTTTCTCTTTCAGCTTGTTAGAAGGAGGCACTCCAGCAAGGTTTTTGATAATTGATGATGGGTGGCAAGATACAACTAATGAGTTCCAGAATGAAGGAGAGCCTTTTGTGGAGGGGTCACAGTAAGCTCACTTATTTCGCTTCTTCAATCTGATAGCATGTGTATAGCCTCTGATTATATTAACACCAAAGTACAGGTTTGGTGCCAGACTCGTCAGCATTGAGGAAAATAGCAAGTTCAGGAAGACAGGAGATGAGGCTTCAAGTGAGGCACCCAGTGATCTTAAGGAATTTATTTCAGATATAAAGAGTACTTTTGGACTTAAGTATGGTCCCTCCTCATTCCTCCTTTCGATTTCTTGTTTCCTTTGAGTTGGGTTGAGAATCTACGATAGCCTTGGATCAAAACAAAAGAATGATGTAGAGCAGTTTTTAACTCCACTCTGCCACGGAGATTATAATAGAACTGCTATCCATCTTGATACTCCTCGTAATGGTATATATGATTCTGTCATTCCCATTGTCAGAAATAGGGGGGGTTAAACTTTGTTTTGTTCTCATTCCTTTTTTGCAGGTATGTCTATGTATGGCATGCACTCATGGGATACTGGGGGGGACTTCATCCAAATGCCAGAGGAACTGAAAAGTACAATCCAAAACTAAAATTCCCCGTACAGTCACCGGGGAATCTTGCACATAAGAGGGATATATCTATGGACTCCATGGAAAAGTACGGTGTTGGCACAATAGATCCTGCCAAAGTATCTGAATTTTATGATGATCTGCACAGGTACCTTGTATCACAGGAAGTGGATGGGGTGAAGGTTGATGTACAGAACATACTGGAAACTATAGCGATTGGTTTGGGAGGCCGGGTATCACTTACAAGACATTTCCAACAAGCTCTTGAAAAGTCTATTGGCACACATTTCCAAGATAATAGCATAATCTGCTGCATGGGTCAGAGCACGGATTCCATCTACAAGTATTAATCTTCTAAATTCCAATTTTCCTGGTCAAGTTCAATACATAGTATGCAGTTGAAAAAGTTAGTCTATACAACAGATCAAACCTTGACAATGCATTAAGGCTCTGAGAAAGGACCTGATTGATTTGAATTGACAATGGTAAACATTACAGCTCTGTCAATCAACTCATAAAGCTTGAGGATCAAGTAGCATAGGTTCCATATCATTGTCAGTTGATTAGCACAATTTAAAGGTCTCCAATGGTCCATCCAGTTGGATGATCAAGAATAGAGAATTGTATCATTCTTCTAACATTTTGAGAAAACAATAAGCCAGTCAACACAAAAGCATAGAATCCCAGCAAAAAAAAAAAAGAGAAGGAATTCAGAATACGGGATTAGTGTGCTGCATTCATCAGAGTTTGTATATATGGCTATAGAATATATATAGAATGCACACAACTTAATGCCCAGCGCATTGTCTTTCCATGTGAGAAGCATGTGGTGAATTTTTTTATTGGAATTTTTAGAATCTAACCTTAAGCTACCCTTAATTTCTTCATTCTTCATGTGATTTAAGCAAATATAAGCTTTTAGCCCATGCAACAGTATAGGGTACCATTGCATGTAGGCATGTACTCTGTTTATGGATTGTAGTTTCTACAGGTTTATGCATGTGTGAAATATTTATTCAGCCCAAAATGTGGGAAGAGAACGATGACATCGTTTCTCACTTACTGTTGCAGCTCAAAAAGAAGTGCTATCACACGTGTGTCCGATGATTACTATCCAGGAAACCCAACAACACAGACAGTGCATGTGGCGGCTGTGGCTTATAACAGCATATTCTTTGGTGAAGTTGTCGTCCCAGATTGGGACATGTTCTATGTATGACATGGTCCTCTAATTTTATGCTTACTAACTGCTTAATAATTCTACTATGTAATTTCTTTAAAAACTTTCAGAGCCTCCATAATTCAGCTGAGTTTCATGCAGTTGCTAGAGCAGTTGGAGGTTGTGGAGTCTATGTTAGGTAAGCTTATTTTGCCTATGCTATAAATTCTCCAAATTCTCTTGACATTTTTTGTCCATTCATTCCTTCACCTTGAAAATTGCCTTTAACTGCATATAGTAGTATCATTCTGCCAATTTTAGATTACCTTTTTGAAAAGCTTCTAATACTTGACATTACCTTTTTTATTTTTCAACTGTGCCTTCCCTGGACAGTTGTCCTGCTCAAAAACAAAATTGCAGTTGCACAAATCTTAATATCCTCTTGAATGTGCAACATTATATTCCTTAGGCAAAGATTGTCCTGAAATGGGTCTTTTTTTATTTGGATCTCAGTTGATTCAAATGGTTCAGTTGACAGACTGCATAAACCTAACGGAAACACTTTTTCCACTTCATCATCCTACTTTGTTAACTTTTTATATTTTACCTTGGGGTCTACGAGGACATTGTAAACAGTGTGCATCTGTACTGTCATACATGTTCAAAGATTTATGACGAACCATGGTATCATTGATATTTTTCTTTGCTGGTGCAATGTACCACTTACAGATTGATGGTTAGCTGAACACTGTTGTTTTCACTTTCTGATTTTTTTTCTAGAAATGATTCATCCTAAACACTATTTTTCATACACCATGGCTGACGACAGTGATAAGCCCAGTCAGCATGATTTCAAGATACTTAGAAGGCTTGTACTGCCTGATGGATCAGTGCTGAGGGCAAAATACCCAGGGAGGCCATCAAGAGATTGTTTATTTAATGATCCAGTTATGGATGGAAAAAGGTATTTTTCTCTATTGTAAATAATGGGTTTTTAAGATTATGATTTCTAAAATTTCTCAATCAGCCTCTTTATATGTAAAACCAAAGTCTGCTGAAGATCTGGAACCTGAACGAATTTACTGGAATTATTGGAGTCTTCAATTGCCAAGGAGCAGGAAGCTGGCCTTGTCTGGAGAACACTGTCCAAAGAGACATTATCTCTGACCTATCTGGACAGGTCTCTCCTACTGATATCGAGTATTTTGAAGAGGTCTCAGGGAAATCATGGATGGGAGATTGTGCAGTCTTTTCCTTCAACACAGGTATTGTTGATACTGCAAAACCACATTCATAGATGATATGTAACTTCACGCTGTCCAAAGCGTCTCTGGTCATAAATCGTAATTAATTATATGACTACATAAATTATGATTATGGGAATAAAATGTTAGTGTAGACCTGTTTATTTTATTTGTGAGCATGGACATTGCACAACACTTGTGGTACTGTTTCATCGGCCTTAGCATTATTCTACTTTTTTACATCAGCAGGGACCCTGTCTCGGCTACCAGTGCAAGAATCGTTCACGATCACGTTGAACACATTGCAATGTGATGTGTTTACTGTGTCTCCCATTAAGGTTCGCTATTCACTTACCTCTTGTAAGCCATAGTGTAACCCATAATATACATGTATCTTGGACTTCCACTTAACAAATTTTCGGGGTGAGGTTCACAGGTTTACCATCAGAAGATTAAGTTTGCTCCCATTGGATTGATAAATATGTACAATGCTGGAGGAGCTATTCGGGCAGTTGAAGTTTCTAAAGATTCTTCTAATCGTAGAATTGTCATCAAGGGAAGAGGAGCTGGTCTTTTCGGAGCATATTCCGATCCAAAGCCAAAGTTTTGCTCTGTGAACTCTCAAGAACATGAATTCAAATATAGAAGTGAAGATTATTTCTTTACTATACCCACTGGTGGTACAAGTTCATGGGATATTACCATTCGTTATTGAGGCTTCATTTTTGCTTTTAGCCAAGATTCAAATCAAAAGAAGAAAAACGACTGAAGAAATTGTAGCACCTAGACTGGAAATGTTCTCAACGAACCAATGGTGTGTACATAATGAACTACTAATTTTGGAGTGTTTAGCATTGTCGGCCTACAAACAGGCCTATCAAACAGTCCATGAACGCAAACGGGCAAGCCATCAGCTTATCCTCTTCTGCCAGAGAGCTAGTTTCCTTTACTGAATGCACATCAGAAAAGGCAATCCTCCTACACTTCGTTGATCAACTCCTTTTCCTTGTTTCGAAATAAATTTTGTTCCTTGGAGGAAGTAAAAAAGAACCAGCCACTCTATTCCCGCCAACCAGTAACTCAACTATATATATATATATATTCACTGCCGATATAGTTTTAGATTTTCCAACCGAACCTTGTTTGGGTGTGTGTGCCTATATGCTTCTTTCATTCAGGGCTGCATTTCAACCGAGACTAGTGAGTTCAAGTACTTGGTCTAACTTCGTAGCTGGATCTGCCTTGGCCACCCAAGGCTGATGCTGATTATCTTCTAATGTGTGCAAAAGAGAAGCTGATTTTTAGAAATTTGTTTGTAGACATTTCTTCTTGAAATCATCCAGCCTAAATGATTTCCATGGTACTAGTTATGGACACAAGATCTATGAGATTTATAGAGCTATTCTTGCTTGCATACGTAAGTTCAGTTTTCATGGGGTATTTATACCTAGGATTGCAATGATGTCTCTCCCATCTAGATTTCAATCCTAACCTCTAGTAGTTTGTGCTCGTTGCCTAGCATAATAAGTGTTATTCTGTCACGCCTCATTAATGCGGGACGGACGTCCAGGTTTACATGCTAGAATGGACCGAGCATTTATGATCCCATCCCCAACCATCAAGTGTTCTACATAGATGTCATGGCTTACTGTTGTGCACTTATGAGCCAAGGTGGGGCATCCACGGGATCCCCCGAGGGCTATCCATTAGTCACAACAGCCATGCCCCCTTAGCTTGATAGCTACTCTCAAGCTCTTCATGGAATACACAGTCAATGATGACTTGTCATGTCATTGTGCCACTCAAGGTTTGTACATCAATGTCATTTAATACTTGACACTGGTTATGCTTCTCGGCCCTAAGCATCCTAATCGCTTGGTCTTAACACTCTTGGGAATTGCATGCATTTCAGCAACATGAGAGATCACGTGTCAAACTCTAGTTGGGTGCCCACTAACGCCCCGTCGACTACTCCCAAGCCTCTGTTTTCTTTACGTCATGGGCCAGGTGTCACGAGGAGAATGGAGGCTTCCTCTGCATGTGTCCATTTTTTTGGGACTACAAGTTGCACGTTTGCCGCCTATTTTTGAATTTTCATTAATGATCCCTACTTTTTCGGCAATCGTTTCCACTTTCAATAATATAAACGAATAGAAATCATAAGGTGAGAGACTCTTTTGGAAATTGTTTTCCTTGCACTGTTTGGTTTCTCGGTGGTTCTTTAGCAAGACTAGGCAAACTATAAAACTTGTATGTACTCTTTGTTTAAAGATCTTCGTATTCTTCTATCTCTTCTTTCCTTTTATCCTTTTTGCAACATCCAAGGGCTAGGGAGTGTAGAAATAGAACCCCAAGGGTCGACAGGCCTAGAAATGAGGGGAAGGCTAGGAAAACTCAAGTGACTGAGTCCAATCTGAATGACTTCAAGTCCATTTACGACCTTATGTTGTTCCACACTGAGATAATCATCAAGGGAGGCGTTAGATCCCCTTGCCCCCCCTTCTCTTAAGGTTCCTGATGCACTTTATGCTTTTTCCTTGACAGTGCTGTGTGAGCCTATTTAGGATAGTGATGAGTGTAGTTGCCCTCAACGCCCGATTAGGAATCACTCTCGGGGTAGACGAGATTCTTTTCTATTATGATATGAGGATAGCCAACAACCAAAATACTATCTCAAGTCCCAGGACCCCACTATGTACTCAGTGACGGATATGCCTAACTCGGACAAAGGTTACACCCGGGATCTCATCATAGTCAGTGGAAAATGGGAGATAGGTGATGGACCAGAGTATGGAGGTCTCTACTGCCCCCAAGGAAATGAGGGTGCTAGATGCATCAGTTTCTACTGAGTCATCCCCCTTTGTACTTAGGAGATAGGTTATGTACTAATCTTTTATCGTTTTCCTTTATTGTAGAAGGTTTTAAGAGGGACACCAAGCAGCCACTTCGATCCTCAGTCAGCTTTGAGGACATCCTAAAAGTGTGGATGTACTAGTGAGAAAACCCCTTCACACTGGCTGTTCACATATTGCTAGGGTACAGGCTGGGCTATACCCATTTTTCCCAAGTTCCTAATCCTTTTGATCTGTCTGCTTGGCTAGACTGTTTTCAAAAAGGAAGTGGCCAACTCTAATTGTGACTTCAAGACCACCTTTTTTGCTTCTAAATCCCCTACTCCTTGAGAATCCATGTTTCGTTTCCCCCAAATTACTGCCGAGGGATTGGATGCTATTGCAGCAGCCAAGAGGACGGCTGTTTCTGGACTAGTCGGGACCTCTGGGACCGTAGCCCCTGCCACCTCCCAATAAAACTTCAACAATAGCAACAACTACAGAGACAGTAGCAAAAACGGCAACCCCGAGACCCTTCACCACCCTCTAGACAGGCCATCCCCTCTTCTAACCAAGTCGGTGCCCAACATGAGCAATGCTGAGGGCAGGAAGACAACCCTGCCACCGAGCGCAGGGTGAAGCGCCAACACGATCCCTCCGTGCAGTCACCCGAAAAAACAAGGCAATCCTGTTGACTAACTCCATCATTCACTTGGTTGATGTGACCCTGGTGGTTAATGGGTCCCTTCACTTTGAGGCTGACATGGCCATTTATCATGACTACTCCGATAGTCGTCTCCTTCAGGGGGTAATCTAGCACAATCTGGTGGTAAGTTGAAGTTTTGTTTGGATACTACCTCTTTTCCCATCTTTTTCCTTTCTTTTTCTCAACACCTAATTCCCACATTCTTTCAGGCGTGTCAACAAATGGGGTCATTATTGACTGCTTCTTGGACTATTGGACCAAGGTCGACTAAGGCAAGTCTTAACTCACCAAAAAGGACCACCACATTGGCCAAGTGGAAAAGACAGTGGCTGATCAGGTGAAGCACATTCACGAGCTTATCTAGCGTGTCGAAGGCCTTTCTTCTTAGTTGAAGAAGAGTTAAGTTGTAGAGGTCGAGGCAGAGAAAAGGATGAATGTCACGTCCCGAACCCGATTCCCATGGATTCGGTACGCAAACTTAATTACCATCAATTTCAATCCATACAAAGCACTAAAATCCTCAATCAATAAAAATAGAATTTATCAATCTTTAGAAATAATTACAATGGTTCAAACTACTCTCAAAATTATGATATTTCATCAATGAATTAATAATTCGAAGTCTCTAAATCTTCAATCGATCAGATCATCTATCGACTTTGAATAAATTTTCAACTTGCATCTGAGAGGGGTAAATGAGGGTGGACTTGGGAGGACTTGGGAGGCCCAGTAAATAATTTACAACATAATACACGGAATTAGAAGACCACACGATAATCCAACGATCAACCACAGAAGCATGAGATAAATAGAATATTTATCTTTAACACAATTAATAAAAGCATATGAAACTCCATATTCGAATCTTTTTAATTCACCCATGGCTTCATACCCGGTTCGTCTCGCTACATACTAGGCGCTACTTGGTACATCTTATTCTATCACACGCCCCTTGGGGCCACAATCACATATCAATATCAAACCATGCCACCGAGTGCACCTAACACATGTGCCAATAGCTCTCCAAGCACTTCACCATCAAAAATACTTTTTGCACAAATAAATACAAAGAATCATCAAACGAAAACTCAAACGAACATCACAAATCAACAGTTAAACATTGAATCAGAATACAATGACGATAATAATAAAAGGATTTTTTTCAAAGAGATTTAGACATGGATGTATATTATGAGATAAACTACTTACCTAATTCGATGTTGACGAAGACAAGGATCCCAATACTTTACTACCATTGAACAAAATTTAGCCTTGTATCTTTCAGTCAAGTCTAATATTCTCACGATTCTACCTTTTGTGATTCATAATTCACACCTTATATTACCAAAGCACGTCTCTCTCTCTCTCTCTCTCTCTCTCTGTATCTGTCACTTCTAAAGGGTTTCCCAGACTAGCAATTCTATTCTATAGAAACCACAAGTAATCTAGTATTACTCATAAGCTATCAAAACACTCCTATTATAATATAAACTTGTAATATTCACGTGCACTCACCCACATGGTATACCATTAACCTCATTTAGTGCAATAAAATAGGTTGTGGCCCTAAAATTTCTCATTCCAATTATCTACATATTATCAGTCAATCAAATAGAAATTAAAGGAGTTATATATGATTACTTAGTTCACTCCTAGTCACTTTGGGTTCCACACCATAATCGACACTCTATCTTAGGAAAAAGTTAAAACTCTCTCCATTTGATTTCATTAGGTGTTTAATTATTATTATTATTATTTTTATATGGGGTATCACAATGAATGAGGCCGAGCTCAAGATCTCAGAAGGCCCCAATTCGTAGAAAAAACCCATAACCCCTTGGACTTATAGCAGAGCCCAAACTGTTAGAGGCTGAGGCTATTTATGCAGCCTTGACTTCTAAGGTCGAGGGCCTGGTAAAGGAACAAGCCAGGAGTGAGGAGAGAGAAAACAACATTCACCTTGAGGTCTTCTACCAAATTTCAATAACAATTCATCCTAGCCTTTACTGATGGTCAAAACAAGTACTTCAAGAAGGGAAGGGATAAGGTGCTGCAGGCCATAGGGGTGAATGTTGACTCCGAGCTTTTCTCAAGGAACCCCTACGTTCCCTAGCAAGTGGTTAGTGAGGTCATGGCCCCTCAGAAAGGTCATCAAGATGTGGCAGCAGCTAGGCAGTA